GAAGCTGGGGCACTACTTCCAAGCCCACGCCGTCCCTGTGCTAACCCAGCAGCCTCTCGGCGCACTCATGAGGAGCCCCACCAGCTCCTCAAGGATGGTGAAATGGGTGATCTTCCTCAGCCAATTTCAAATTGAGATCAAGCCAAGGCCATCTATCAAAGGGAAGGCCTTGGCCGACTTCGTCACTGAATGCACAGCAAGGGAGACAGGCGTTGCCAACCCCGGGCCGGAGCCGGACGATACATGGATCCTATTCACTGACGGCTCGTCGGCCGCGAAATCATGCGGTGGCGGCGTCGTCCTCATATCCCCTGAAGGATTCAGAGCTTACTATGTCATCCGCTTCAACTTCAGGGTATCCAACAACGAAGCCGAGTATGAGGCCCTCCTCAGCGGTCTCAGACTCGCCGCCGGCCTCAAGGCCAAGCACCTCAAAATCAAGTGCGACTCCAAACTGGTAGTGGGCCAGGTGGAGGGATCGTACGAAGCAAAGGAGGGACGGATGCGACAGTACAAACAGGCAGCAGAGGAGTTACTGAAAGCGTTTGAAACCCACGAGATCACTCATATCCCAAGGGCCGAGAACGCCGAAGCCGACACCCTCTCCAAGCTCAGCTCAGACACTCCAGAGCACATCTCCAAGATAGCCAACATCGAAGAGCTGAACATGTCTAGCATTCATGCCAGCCCCATCTTATGCATCCAACAGCGACCAGAGGACTGGATCTCCGACATCGTCACCTTCATCACGACGGGGGAGCTACCCTCGGACGAGGAGAGGGCCAAACTTGCCAAACTCAGGGCCCCAAGCTACACCATTGAAGATGGCAAACTCTACAAACGATCCTATAATGGCACTCTCCTCCGATGCCTGCACCAGGATGAGGCCGACGTGGCCATGGAAGAAGTTCATTGTGACGTTTGCTCCTCGCACCAGGGCCCTTTCAGCATGTCCCGACGTCTCGTCGTCCAGGGCTTCTTCTGGCCGACGATGGCGCGAGACTGTGCGGACCTGGCCAGGAAGTGTACCACGTGCCAGGTGCTCCAGAAGGCCCCTGGTCGGCCAGCCGTCAACTACGCCCCCATCAGCACCGCAATTCCATTCTCTAGATGGGGGATTGACCTGGTCGGCCCGCTGCCCAGAGCCGCCGGGAACAACCGCTACATCATCGTCGCCGTCGACTACTTCACCAAGTGGGTCGAGGCGGAACCCCTGGCCAGCATCACGGGGGCCAGATGCCAAAAATTTGTTTACAAGAACATCATCACACGCTTCGGCGTCCCCCAGGAGATTATATCAGACAACGGCACCCAATTCGAGGCAGCCCCTTTTCAGGAGCTCCTCCGGGAGTTTGGGGTGAAGCATCGTTTCTCCTCCGTCGCCTACCCTCAGGGCAACGGGCAGGTCGAGAACGCCAACAGGACAATCATGGAGGGGCTGAAGAAGAAACTCCAGGCCGCAGGAGGTAGTTGGGTCGACGAGCTCCCCAACATCCTGTGGTGCTACAGAACCACGCCGAGGAGGGCGACAGGTGAAACGCCTTTCGCCCTGTGCTACAGCTTTGAGGCAAAGGCACCCACGGAAGTTGCCATCCCTAGCCGACGGGTGGAACAATACGAGCCTGACCCCCTCGTCGGCCACGCCCTCGTCGGCCACGAAGACCTCACAGAACCGGATTTTACACTTACTCATTTGTACAGCCCATTAGTGGCTTTGTATTCGGCCCAGTAGCGGTCCAGTTGTAAATGGGCCTCCCAAGCCCAAGGCTTGGGAGCCCAACCCGTATTTTCTCTATAAATACTCCCCTTGGGAGTAGTTATAGGGGTGACAAATTCATTCTATTGAAGCATATCACTGCACTTCTCTCTCTAGCTCTCACCTCTCTCTAGATATACTCTATCAACTGGTGACTTATTCACCGCACGGTTCGATGACTGTCATTTTGATGAAACAGTATTCCCAGCCTTAGGGGGAGATAATAAAGAAATGGACCCACGTACGAAAGATATTACTTGGAATGCAACAGATTTATCTTTTCTTGATTCTCGCACAAATGCTTGTGAACAAGAAATTCAAAAGATCATTCATTTACAAAGTGTTGCAAACCAATTGCCTGATGCTTTCACAGACTCAAAGAAAGTGACAAAGTCACATATTCTAGCTATGAATACTCCTTCTCGAATAGAAATTCCTGCGGAGATTAGCGAAAGAACTCTTGCTAATGAATCTATGATACGTAAAAAACGTGGTAGACCACTTGGTTCAAGAGATTTGAAACCAAGAAAATTTAAAAAGCAAGATGTAGTTTGTGATGCCAAAGAAGTTCAACCTTCTCAAGAAGAAAATGAACATTATGATAATATCGACATTGAAGATAACATTAATAATAAGGATACCTCAAAACAGGATCCAATCACCTTTGAAGAGGTAAATATTCCAGATACAGATAGAAACGTTGATAATTTTGAAATTTCAATCAATTACGTTTATAATGGAATGCAATGGAATAGAAAAGATATTGATGTTAACGATATATTTTCATATGCCATCGCCACAGATATAATGAATGAACACGATGACAATGAGCCTAAATCTATTGACGAATGTCATCGTAGAAACGATTGGCCAAAATGGAATGAAGCAATTCAGGTAGAACTAAAATCGCTAGAAAAGCGTAATGTTTTTGGACCAATTGTCCACACGCCAAAAGGCGTAAAACCTGTAGGTTTTAAATGGGTGTTTGTGCGTAAACGCAATGAGAAAAATGAAATCGTTAGATATAAAGCCCGACTTGTTGCCCAAGGTTTTTCTCAAATGCCAGGAATCGATTATGATGAGACGTATTCTCCAGTAGTTGATGTTACTACTTTACGATTTTTAATTGGCATGTCTGTTTTTGAAAGGCTGCAAATGCGGCTAATGGATGTAGTGACCGCATATTTATATGGTTCACTCGATACAGATATATATGAGAATTCCTGGAGGCTTTAAAATACCTGATGCTTATAGCTCGAAATCTCGAGATTTATTTTCCATAAAATTGCAAAAGTCATTATATGGATTAAAACAATCTGGACGCATGTGGTATAACCGTCTAAGTGAATATTTGATTAAAGAAGGATACAAAAATGATCCTATTAGTCCATGTGTTTTCATTCAGCGATCTGAATCAGGATTCACCATAATTGCAGTATATGTTGATGATTTGAATATAATCGGAACTTCCAATGAAATTGAAAATACTGCTAAATATCTCATGAAAGAATTTGAAATGAAAGACCTTGGGAGAACAAAATTCTGTCTCGGCATTCAAATTGAACATTTGAGAAATGGTATTTTTATCCACCAATCAAATTATATCGAGAAACTTTTGAAGCGGTTTTACATGGAAAAAGCTCACCCACTCAATTCCCCGATGGTGGTTCGATCTCTCAATGTGCATGATGATCCTTTTTCGACCTTGTGAAGATGATGAAGAAATCCTTGGTCCCGAAATACCATATTTGAGTGCTATTGGAGCGTTAGTGTATTTGGCTAATAATACACGACCAGATATTGCTTTTTCTGTAAATTTATTAGCCAGGTACAATTCTTCTCCGACAAGAAGACATTGGAATGGCGTCAAACATATATTCCGCTATCTCAATGGTACAATCGATCTTGGATTGTATTTCAAGAATGGTGCAAATGCCACTTTAATTGGCTATGTCGATGCAGGATACTTGTCTGACCCACAAAAGGCAAAATCACAAACAGGATATGTATTCACCTATGGTGATACCGCTATCTCATGGAGATCAATGAAGCAAACATTAACTGCCACATCATCAAATCATGCAGAATTAATTGCTCTTTATGAAGCAGGTCGAGAACATGTCTGGTTGATATCAATGATCCAGCACATACAAAATGAATGCGGTATAAAATCTTTTACTTGTAATCCTACTGTGATTTATGAAGATAACACAGCATGTATAGCTCAGATCAAAGGAGGTTACATCAAAGAGGATAGAACAAAGCATATAGCACCAAAACTTTTCTCCACGCATGATCTTGAGAAAGAAGGAACAGTTGATGTCAAACAAATCAAGTCCTGCGACAACCCTGCTGATTTATTCACAAAGTCATTGGCACCGAAGAAATTTGAAGAACTGGTCCACAAAATTGGAATGTGTCATCTTCGAGATATATGTTAAATTGAGGGGGAGTAATATAATGCACTGCACTCTTTTTCCCTTCGCCAGGTTTTTATCCCACTGGGTTTTTCCTGACAAAGGTTTTTAACGAGACAGTACATTATAATACTATGATACTAATACCCCAGAATAATTAGAAGATGACCATTCAAGGGGGAGTGTTGAAATATATTGAATTAGTCATCTTCCAACTATTCCTGATTAGGAATTATTATCACCATTGTATAAATAATTAGGAAATCATAATTATGATTCTAGATGATAATTGTGTGGTTCACAATTATCCTCTAATCCTAATAAGCTTAGCTTTTCTCCTGTAAATAGGAGTCTTCTCCATTGTAATCAACACACCTTCATTACACCATTATCACACTCTCTAATACATCTCTATCACTAAGTGTTCTACTATACTTTCTCTCCCTGATCTTCTGCTCATTTCCTTTCGTATTATAACAATCTAGTCATATTTTTTGGGAATTTTAACAAAATAAACCACTTATATCAAAATTCAAAATTTCAGTATAATTAAGAGAAGATAAGTGCTGTTTGTACATAGTATTTTACAATTAAAATTTCAGTATTTCAAATAAATAAATGGTCATTTACCTACAAATTTTTGAGTCTAGCTCCTCTCAATTTCTTTCTCTCAATTTCTCATCCATTTCTTTTTTTTTCTTTCTATCTATTTCTACCTTTTTCTCTATCTTACTCATCAACATACTCCACCATAATTTCCCATTCTCTATCTCTATCTCTCCTACCGGAGGATCCAAATTCCAAATTTTTTCTTTGTTTTGTGAAGACAACAATTGTGTGTGTCCGTTGTTAAAACTGAAAAGAATAAAAACATGAAAAACTCTACTGTCCATTCCGGTCTGAGAAAAATGTTTGAGAAGAAATTATCATTTCTGTTGTCACTTCACGTGAACGCGATCGAAATGTCGAGTCATCCGACTTCTCCCACGCGAAGCATATGAAATTGGGCACGAGAGCTAAATCCGTCTACGGCCATGCCAGCTAGACTGTGACTCACTACTGACTCCGATACATCGTCTTCGTCGTTATCGTCTTCTTCACATTTTCGACATATTCATTCAACGAATTTCTGAGCTGTGTGAGTTTTTTTGGCTTCTAATTGTCGGCACCAACCGCAGAAAGGGAAAGACGGGACAGAATGAGTTTCAGGGAAGAGAGCGACGATGGGAGAGGGGATCTGAGGAAGCCATTTCTGCACACTGGGAGTTGGTACCGAATGGGTTCCAGACAATCGAGCATGATGAGTTCTCAGGTCATTAGGGATAGCTCTATCTCAGTCATGGCTTGCGTTCTCATCGTCGCTTTGGGCCCTATCCAGTTTGGTTTCACTGTATTCCCTCTCATCACCTATCAATCTATCGCTTTATGTCAATTTCTTCCTTTTTAATCACTTTTACTTTGACTTGATATTAATACATGATTGACTGCATAGAACATGAAATTCAACATCATAACAGTGAATTCGAACGGAAATAAACTTCAATCTTTATTGTCTAGTTTATCCTGATGGCGCACTTGTGTTGTAACTGCTTCATACTCTTTGTTTGAAGGGTGGGTACTCTTCGCCAACACAAAATGCTATTATGAAAGATCTGGAACTTTCTGTATCTGAGGTCTGAAAGAATCGTCATTTGCTTTTCTTGAATCTTTAGTTCCATTTCAGTTTCTATGCAGATGAAAATCTGACTAAAATCCTTTTGGCCAGTTTTCCTTGTTCGGTTCCCTATCGAACGTTGGTGCTATGGTAGGGGCAATTGCTAGTGGTCAGATTGCAGAGTACATTGGACGAAAAGGGGTATGTATGCATGTTCAGTTCTATGTGTGGTAATGTAATTCCCATACTTTGGGTCCAGGCTTTACTTTAGCTGTTATTTGGTCTAATTGCAGTCTCTAATGATAGCTGCTGTACCTAATATTATTGGTTGGCTTTCCATCTCGTTCGCCAGAGTAAGAATCTTATTTATTTACTTTTGATTCTTAATGATAGTGTTGCACTTTGTTCATCTTGTGTGATCATTTTCTCTCAAGTCTCAACTGATACATATTTATGCCCCATACCCTTATTCAGGATCCTTCTTTCCTATACATGGGAAGATTGTTGGAAGGCTTTGGTGTGGGAATCATTTCTTATACGGTATATTATGACCCATTTTATTTCTCCCTGAATATTCAGTTTAGAAATGATTTGGTAGTCATTATTACGTTTTCTTTTGGGGGTTTCTCATTCATTATAGGTGCCGGTATACATTGCAGAAATAGCACCTCAAAACATGAGAGGGAGTCTTGGTTCTGTGAATCAGGTTTGGTAAACCTACAGTAATTTGCTTTGAATGCCAAAAGTACATTTGAATTATTATACTTTGTATTTTAATGCAGCTAGCTGTTACTATTGGAATTATGCTGTCTTATTTGCTAGGTCTTTTTGTCAACTGGAGGACTCTAGCTGTCCTGGGTAAAGATTTTATATTCTCTGGTTTGCTATTCATTGCATCATGTTAAGTAACAGTCCATTTATTTATTTTAACTTACTTCACTGTGCTTTTCATGGATTTTAAGAATATAATTGAAGGGATAGTGAATAGTTTACAAAAAGTTCACAAGTTGCAGAATGCAGACTAAAATTAATAAAAAATATACAAATAAAGAGAAGATAAAAAATAAGGGAATTTATGTTTTTTAAACATTCATTATTTAAAAAACATAAAGGGAGCAATTAAAAATAAACCGAGGGAGGATCATTTACTACCTTTTTCACAAATAAAAAAGCATTTTTCATCAAGCTACGACATTCTAATTTAAGGAATGTCCTACTTTGTACTACTAATTTGGTACTACCTCCGTCCTGCTATGATTGTCCCATTTTACCTTATCGGTCCGTCTAAGATTGTCCCATATCAAATTTGGTAAAGTTTGTGTGGCTCTAAATCATTCTTACTTTATTCTTACTTTATCAATTCAATATCAACCACACAAACCATTTTTTATTAATTTGGGTGTCACTCCCTTTTGTCTCATTGTTAGCGGGACGGAGGGAGTATATTTTAGTAAGGTATAATTTCTAAAAGTGGTACCTTATAAATATTATTAAGGTACAACTTTTAAGTTTTTGCTGAAAAGTTGCGTTTTTTATTGAAACTGGACTCTTTTTCTGGGGCACGTTAAAAATATTTCAAAGTCAGCTCCTTTTTAGCAGAGGAAGTTATTCTTTTCCAGATGCACTAATATGCACTAATGCAAGTAATTTGTATTGAACGGAAACATGCATTAATGCAACCCTGATTCTTGAGAGAGCATTTCTCATTTCAATGCCCAAGATTACTTCTCACTTTTCACCTAAGGGGTACTTTTTACTTGAACCAAACTCTCTCTCTCTCTCTCTCTCTCTATATATATATATATATATACACACACACACACACACACACACACAAGAATGTTCAGGTCCGAACGTTCGGACCTGAGGCGCCGTCCGAACACCGCCGTTCGGGGCGGTTCCCAGTGGAATTTTTTGATGAAATTTTTATGGTATGTTCTTCTTCAAGTCTAGTTTATCCATACTAAATTTCAGCTCAAAATTCGATCGGGAAGACCTTCAAATGATTTTTTGAAGTTGACTACGTTTTTCTATGTATAATTTGGCGCGGACAGGATAAGGTCTTTATATATATATATATCAATGTTCTAAAAGGTGTTAGGCGCTAGGCGCTAGTCGGGCGCCAGCCCAATGCCTAGGTGGTTAGGCGGGCGCCTAGTCGGGGACTAGTCGGAGACATATAAATTGCATTTTTATCTATATTTTTGCATAAATATGTTTAAGTAATTTTGTATTTTGTGTGTATAAAATACATATATACATATACATTAACAATCATGAATGATAGAATTATCACATTTAATCATACGTAGTACTATCATATGATCACTAATCACTTAACTTCATTATGCTATAAATATAAATAATAATAAAATTTAGGTATATACACAAACATATAGAGTTTTTATCTTAATTTGCAACATCATTTCTTTATATTTGTGGCTAAAGTTAAAGTACCTATATCGCTTAGGAAAAAAAATTAAAAAGTAAAGTAGTGTTCGGCGAATCTAGACAGCCTAGCGGACGATTAGGCGCTCTGGGCGGGCAACTAGGCGTCATAGGCGGCCGACTAATTCACCTAGACGGCAAACCAATTAGTCGGAGCGCCTAGACGAAAATCGGGGCGCCCGTCCACCGCCTACCGCCTAGGTGGGGACTAGTCGGACGTCTAGAACGATTTTTAGAACAGATATATATATATATATATATATATATATATATATATATATAGAGAGAGAGAGAGAGAGAGAGAGAGGGAGAGAAAACCCCATATATATAACCTTTATATATATGCATCACTTGGATTTACCGACAATTTATTTGTTTTCTAATCTTGCAGGGACAATACCTTGTCTAGTGTTGATACCTGGATTATTTTTCATTCCAGAATCTCCTCGATGGTTGGTAAGTTTCTCTGAGGGGAAATGAATAAAAGGTTGGAGGGCTTAGTCCATATCTTGATAAATAGAATGATTTTTAAAATGAACAAAAGGTGATTGAATTTTTATACAATTAGATACTATGTTAATCTTTCAGTTTTTATAAAATCTCACTCTCACACACACAGACATTCCCTCTGCCCCTATAAAAAGGTCCTGCTTTGAATTGCACGCATATTAAGGAAATATTTTTTTTCCTTTGACTTCCTGAAATGCTCCTATTACTAAGGGGTAATTTTTTTTGTAGAGTACACTGTGAATTTGTTCAACATTAAACACTGTTTTGCACTGTGCTGATATTATTATTTAAGGGTACTAGGGTAGTAGAGTAAATTGATATCAATTTGTTTACCAAAAGGAAACTGGGAAGTTTATTTAGGGACGGAGGGATCGAGGGAGTATATATTAAGATATAGACTAAACCCCTCCAAACCAATCATAAACCCTCCATCATCTCGTCGAGTTGTTCCTTGTAGTTTTGTGTCTCTGCGTGTGTTTGCACTTTTATCATGACAATATTTTGTAAACTATAGGCAAAAATGGGTTTCACAGAAGATTTTGAAACCTCTTTGCAAGTCCTTCGAGGTTTTGATGCTGACATTACTGTTGAAGTCAATGAAATTAAGGTAAACTGCTTGGATTTTTAAATAGACCACGAACCTAATATGTATGACGATTGACGCATGATATTTGTTTTGGATAAAAACATTTACTATAGTTGAATGTGAACCACATACCATGATAGTGCTTAAAATTTACTCACTTTTTTACATTTTTTTATTACACAGAGGTCTGTTGCATCATCATCAACAAGCAGAAGAACAGCAATACGTTTTGCTGATCTTAAGCAGAGAAGATATTGGTTCCCGCTGATGGTAGTGTAGTTGGTAAAATTACAACTTGCTATGTTCTTCTAGCCTTTTAAACTTGTTTCCTCTGCAGGTTGGAATTGGGCTACTTTGTTTGCAGCAGTTAAGTGGAACCAATGGCGTTTTATTTTATTCTAGCAACATTTTTCACACAGCTGGTGCGTATAAAGACTTCACTTAATATCAGTTTCGTTGAGAGGGTTCTGGAGGACTTTATCAGTTTGGATGAAAGGGTTTTGGATGGCAAAATATATATCCTGATATGTATTTGAGATGCTATAGATATTCAAGGAATAACATAATTGGTTATCTATAATGTTCGAGTCACCCTTTATCCATTTTCAGAAACATTCTACTCCTTCGAAAGCTTGCTCTTATAGGTTTTTCACAGTTAATCAAAAGTGAAACTGTAGGGTATTAAATAGTGTATCAAATGCAGAAAAAGTAGGGGAGAGACGATGATGTAAGAAAAGTAGGAGAGGGAAGAAGAAAAAGTAAGAGCATTTATGTCATTTGATAAGCTCTTATTTATAAATAAGAAAAGTGGAATAAGTAATAGTTTCTTAGAAGGAAAGTAGAGCAATCTTTCATATATAGCGGGAGTACTTGTGATATACAATAAGCCATTTGAAGTCTTCCTACCGAAACCTTCCATCCAAACTGACCCTTAAAGATGGGACTTGCTTCATGCACAATTTTCTTACCAGATCTAACAACATTTTTGAATTAACAGGAATTTCTTCAAGCAATGTTGCTACATTTGGTGTTGGTGCTGTCCAGGTCAGAGAGTTTTCATATGTTTCCAGAATTATATATTGTCCTGGAAAAGTTAAGTTTTCGGGATTTTGCTATGTTTAGAGTTTAGACGGAAAAGCTTTCCTTGAAAGATTTTCATGACCTTGGCACCAGTATGAAGAAAGATATTTTCCGTGGTTCCTTGAAACATTTATGACACATTACAATTTAGTTAAAAAAAATCGATGGGGAAAACATTCTGGGAAAATAACCAAGTTCCTTTCCTGCCATCTAGTGAAGCCTAATTTGGAAAATAACATTGTTTGTTTTGTTCATTGTCTTTTTTTTCTGCATCATTGCTGACAATTGAAGGACACATTTATACCTTTTTAGGTTATTGCAACTGCAGTTTCTGTATGGCTGGCAGACAAATCAGGGCGCAGACTTTTACTTATTGTAAGTTATTATAGTAAAGTGGAATGAGCAGCTGCTTGGTCTCCAATATATTTCTTCAGTTTAACAGAAGTGCTCCTTTTGCAGGTCTCATCTACCGGTATGGCTATCAGTCTCCTACTCATCTCCGTTTCCTTCTTTATGAAGGTAACTCATATAACTTCAGCCTGTTTCTGCGGAAAACTAAAAGCAGGCTAACTTTTCACACATTCTGCTCATTAAAATGCCAGTTTAACCTATACTCCACATTTGATCAAAACTTACTAGGGTTATGTATCTGAAGACTCGTCTCTTTATGGCATTCTGGGGATAATATCTATTGTTGGAGTTATGGTATGTTCTTGAATTGATGCGCCATGATGACTTTGAACCTCGTTTGCTAAAGTTCTTTAATAACCAATTTCCATCTTTCAGTGCATGATTGTTTTCTTTTCACTTGGATTGGGACCCGTACCATGGCTTATCATGTCTGAGGTACTGTTTTTGGCCAGTGAATACTGTTGTCTACTTCATCATAGTGTATCTGAATTACAGAGACATTTAATCACATGTCACCTTCATATAATATATTTAGACATCATGTCACTTACTAGGTTTCATCTCTATGCGTCCTGTTTTTTAACTTAAAAAAATTGGTTTCTAGGTTTTCAAATACGTAGTATAAAACATACTTGCTAGGTTTTCGTATTTATATGATTTATATTGTTTATAATGAAAATATTGTTTATGATTTATATTGTTTATAATGAAAATATTGTTTATGAGCTATCAAGTTGGAAACATGTTTTGGTAACAGAAAGGAAACTAGAAACCCCGCTCATAAATAAATTGTTTTCTATTATTCAGTGCATTTAGAAGTCTAGTATGAATAGTGACATTTTTATGTCTGTTTTCAGAAAACAAAAAAATAACACTACCAAAGTCTACTTAATGTTTTTTTGGGTTCGTTATTATTATCACCCATCCAGCTGGCATCAAAACAACATTTTAACCCAGCGTTTTGGAAAGTCAACTGATTACTCCCTTCAAGTTCGGTCAAATTAATTAATACCATCTCCATTATATTCCAAACTTATTTACTGCATTTTTTTTGCATTTATAGAAGTAAATGTTAAATAATGTTCCTAATATTTGTATCAATCAAGGAGGGAGTGTGATAAGGATGTACAGTAATACAGAAGATTATAGAAGAAGATTCAAGAAAACTAACTGCAATTTTATCAGAGGAGAAGAACAGTAATCGTAACAAATGGCCGAAGCCCCCAGTTGAGCCGAAGCCCCCCCAAAAGAAAGAGAATATCTCTCGATCTTCCCAAGTCCCAGAATGATAAAGTCTAAACAGCCTCCTAAATCTCCCCTGCTATCTTCTATTTATACTAAACTCATACACTTTATTCTTATTAATACTCTAATAGGCCCGGTCCTTTATTCTTAGTATCTTTAGGTCCGGTCCCTAACAGAGTGGTTATTAATCTGACCAAATTTAAGGGGTGATTGATTGAACTCACCAAATGTGAGGGTGATAATAGTAATTAACCTGTGTTTCTAAAGTCTAGTCATTGAATTTTGTTCCTGGTAAACTGTAGAATCTAATGGTTCATTAAAATTCAAATGTAATTCTTGAGCTCTATTATTATCTTTTATGGAGTAACTACTAAAGCTATGAACACTCAATTACAGACTGGTTACGTTGCCTGAACCAAATTATTTGCTCACATTAGTTTTTAAAACTAATATTTGTGATGATTGTAGATTCTTCCAATTAAAATCAAAGGTCTTGCTGGAAGTGTGGCTACCTTGGCCAATTGGTTATGTAGCTGGGTCATCACAGCAACTGCACCTGTGCTATTGGATTGGAGCAGCGGAGGTTCTCTCTCCTCCCCCTCTCTAACGCACAACTCTGATGCATATACATACACTGCAATATCGGCAGAAATATGTACACTAATCTGCTTAAGCTATGTAGGATACGAAACTAAACCAAATATACCCAGTATATCACTATATCCCACTCTACCCCTTCAGGAGTATAGTCTTTCCCATGAAGAACCTCGGGCAATTAGTGAAAAGTAGCGTGAACAATGTGTTAAAAAAAGGAAAAAGTATTCAAAAGGAGAGTCAAAAAATAAGGATTTGGTTCTAGGCCTACCTTTGTGAAAGTAATATAGTGACTCCAAGCCCTGTGCCTTCATTTGTGAACAATATTGACCATCAGATGGTGTCACTTATGGCATTAGCTTCATATGTGTGTGGAAGGTCCTTCCTTTAGAAATCCTCTTAATGCAGACTGACTTATCTTCTAACATTCAGATACATTTATATGCGAATATTTCATGACAGTAACCAGTTGATGTTTTTTACAGGGACATTCATTATATACACGGTTGTGAGTGCGTTCACCATAGCATTTGTATCCATTTGGGTCCCAGAGACAAAAGGCAAAGGTCTTGAAGAAATCCAAAATTCTTTTAAATAGGCTGTTTCTCCTGCTGCTGTTCTTGTTTGTGCTCGAATGCTTTTTCCTTTTTTTTTTTGGGGGGGGGGGGGGGGGGGGAGGGGGTCATGTATGTATAGGCACTATACCATAGTGGAGGGGCACCTTGATCATTGAGCTTTATTCTTTCTTGAAATGTTTTATTCTCTCGTGAACGGATCAGTACTCCCATCATTTTTATAAATAAATGCCGTTTCTTGAGGGAAATAACAATATTTGTTCCATAATGTGTTGCTTGAGAAACCAACAAAGTGCTTCCTGTTTTTATAAGATTATTATTCTAATATTCTCTGAGGAAAGTAGAAAATAATGTGTTGCTTGAGAAACAGGAAGTTGCACCACACATACAGTCATACAATGATCTACTGCTAATGTGATTCAAGGAAGTGACAACTGATAAGTATTCGTGTTTCTTACGTGTACGTTTTGGTTTTGGAATATGTCAGCAATTTAATATACACATGTTACAACAAATTTAGTATTCCGTATATATAGATAAATTTCTTTTAAAAAGCGCAATAGTTTTAAATAATTTATCTAACCGGTTTTTTTAAAAATAATTTATCTAACGGATTTCACGGTTGAAATTTTATGGAGATAATTTATACTTCATAAAAACATTTTCACAAAGTTTCATCAACATTTTTGACGCAGAAACCCCTTAAACAGGCTTGGTTGGACGAGACTTCCGGTTAGTACATATATAAAGATCTTGTCTAGTTGTTTGGCCGCCGCTGTTTGAGGTGGTCCCCGATGAAATTTTTGATGAAATTTTGTTAGCATGTTATTTATGAAGTATAAATTATGTTCATAAAATTTCAGCTTAAAATTCAATTGAGAAGACTATTAAATAAATTATTGAAAACCACTTCGTTTTATATATAAGAAAATTATTTCTAAAATGCATAAGACCATGCAAAACAGTGACAAACAGTGTTAAAACAATGTACTCTAAATAAAATTCTATTTTATTGTTAGGGCAAGTCAAAATGAGAATTTTAAATAGGGACATGAGGAGTATGAAATATCGTAATCCCTATATTGGATACACGAAAATGTATTCTTTCAAGTTTCAAGTTTCAACTATTAATTTTTTATTATTTTGCTTTAATTTTTGTTTCTCTCATTCAATTATTAACACATTGTGAAAAAAACACCATGGAAGAACTGTTTATATCATTATATGTGACCATGTGGGAGCAAATCAATAGCCGATTTCCCTGTGTCAGGTCTCAACACATTGAAATGCAGAGACAAAAATTGACAGCTTTCAAGAAATATTGTATATTCAACCTTCCCAGCAAACCATATTTCACGATCGTGTAATCTTGGACAAGTTGAACAACGGTGTTAGTAAAATTAGCAATATGGGGACCATCAATCACAACAGAGGACCCAATTGGACTTTGTCCATTTGAATTACTAAAGCCCTTTTGGTATAAGTTGTGAATTTGGGTGAAAATCTAATTGTGTAGAGTCCATTTGGTAATACAAATCTTCCACTTATCAATCTTAGGATAAGTTTTCTATCGAAAGTTGGACTTTGATTTCGCTCGCTAAATAAGCAAAATTCTTGTTTGTGGCTGGCTTACTTGGGCTCAAATTGACATTGTTGTGGCTTTTTAAACTCAACTGTTAAGCCGCACAGTTTTTTGCTTCAAAAGTTATAAAAATAATATAGCTTAAAAGCTAAATGTATTATGTACGGAGTACATACCATTTTAAAAGCCACTATCATTGCAAGATGCTTCCGACCATGGTTGAAATGAATAACCCTTTGAAGAACCTTCTCCGATTTACTCAATTCAGCCAAATAGCTCTTAATAAACAAGCCCTTATTCTCTATAATAAATTCATCCATGCCAACTTTTGGAACCGGTAATTGTCCTACTTATATACAAGGTCAATAAACACAAAGCAGAACCTCATTTAACCCATGTCACTGTGGTTTCTTTCAAGAAAGAATTATACCTAAACAAAAATGATTCTTTTAAAATACTACAGCCAATGGTACATCTGTAACTCGATAGTCTTCAAAAATAACAAGCTGCACTAGTGCACTGCAACACTAGATTCAGATGAAATGGTAACCGAACAAAGCCATAAAATCTAAACACTGGATAAAGAAAGGGAAGATAAAAACCGAAAGTACAAACCCTATGGAACAGAAAAAAGGGATCCACAAGCAGCACAGCGAATAACAGATTGGGAGAACTGTATACCAGTTATCAAGAGTTACTATAACATATCCATGACATATTGTGCTAAAACACTACTTTCACCGGGTACCGGTCAATACAATCCTCCCATGGACTCTTAGTGGATGGCCTCACGTTACGAAGTGCTTGCCAAACAGCACTGTTACACTTGAAACCACTCCCGAATGCGATCTGCCACACTCTGTGTCCTTTCCTCATCCTTCCCTTGGCCTCAGTATATGCCAGCTCATACCAGATAGAGCTGGATGAAGTATTACCAAATCGATGTAGTGTCATTCGGGAGGCCTCCACGTGTGTTGGAAGGAGTTGGAGATTCTTTTCCAGCTCATCAATCACCGCCCTCCCCCCAGCATGTATGCAGAAGTGATCAAATGCCAGCTTGAAATCTGGGATATATGGCATGATGTTCTCGTTGTATAATTTCTTGATTACCAATGTAGAAAAGAAGAGAAGCTGTTCGCTGATTGGCAGCACGAGGGGACCAAGTGTGGTGATATTGGTCTTAAGTGTACCACCAGCAATTGCCATTAGTTCTTTTGACAAGGAAACTCCTGTCTTGCCGTTTTCGTCCTGCTCCTGGTAAACACAACGGAAGGCCTTATCATCGGCCCCTCGGTGAGTCCTCACGACGTGAACAAGCTTATACTTTGCTCTTCTCCTGTCTATTGACTTGTTAGATAAAAGAACAGCAGAACCTCCCACTCTAAACAAACAATTCGGTATCAGCATAGACTTCTTATTCCCAAAATACCAATTCTGAGTGATGTTTTCTGTGCTGACAACAACAGCATAGGTATTTCTGTGCACTTGCAACAAGTCCTTGGCTAGATCAACAGCAATCACACCTGCACTACAACCCATACCCCCCAAGTTGAAACTCCTAATATTGCCTCTTAATTTGTATTTATTCACAATCATAGCAGAAAGTGACGGAGTTGGATTAAAGAGGCTACAATTTACAATGAGTATGCCTACATCTTTGGGTTTCAAACAGGTATTCGCAAATAAATTATCCAATGAACCAAACATGACCTGCTCTGCCTCTTCCCTGGCGGCCAGCATAGACGGCTGAGGGGGGACGCAGTGCATAGCCTCCGGGAAGTAAGTCTCATCCCCAAGGCCAGACCGCTCTAAGATCTTACGCTGAAACTCGAGGCTGGAATCATCAAAGTCTCCCGTGAGCCTAGAGTGATCCATGAACCGATGATGGGTAGCCTTGAGGTTATCCGGAGGCTGATAACAAGAGTAATCAACCAAATACACCGGCCGCGGCCGGGTCATGATATAAGCCGTGGATCCGAAGACCATAACGGTGGAGCAGATAATCACAGAAACGAGATTGTACTGCAAATGAAGCCATAACTGGCGAATGTCATCTGGATTCATCTGAGAGGCCTCGATAATAATAACGACCATCACAGGAATAAGACACAGAGTTAACAGATGAGAAATCAAGTAGTGGTAACCTAGTTTCACGTACTTCAAGTTCACGCTCTGGAGAAAATCCGGCAGCCGCCGAGTCTGCTGGATCTGCACTCCCACCGGTTCCGGTCCTCGGCCGTGGTCGACTTCCGCAGTGCCTCCGCCGCCGTCCATGGCGGACACTGGAACTCAAACCGTGGATCAGTCGTTGGAATGATGAAGAAAAGAATAAAACCGCGGATTGCGCGGACAGTTATGGCAAGCATAAGGACTGTTATGATTATATAAATACGGCGTGTATGTGTAAGGTGAGCTGGATTTGTCACGTTGTCAACGGCGTGAGGTATCAGCTTGAAGGGGAAGGGTCCGGCCGGATATAGAAACTTATGCCTTTTTATCAACGGCCGCGATTCAAACTCACCTAATTAAAAGGTCAAAAATTAGTATCAATAATTCAGTATACAGTACCGTATTTATTTGTTTGCTTTTTTATACGAAGTATTTCGACGGCGTGATTTAATCGAAATTAAAGTCCAAAATCAAATCGATCAACTTTATTCGACTTTAGATGAGTGGGTCATGAGTCTATACGATTTTATTATGATTTTATGATTTTAGATGCTTAAAATCAATTTATAAGTGTAGTATCATAGGATTTTATAATTAAAATCAAGATTTAACAATCTTTTCTGGACAATGTCAATATAGGGGTGTGTCTCTCACTGATTGATACTCGCACCTCTGAAAGGGCGATACATTTCTCTCTTTAAGGAGACCATTGTGACTATTTGAAAACTGGAAAAAGGGTCACATAAGCCTTTCAACTATCACCAAAACATCACATTAACCCATCTACTTATAAAAGCATCACACCATCACTTAAGTACATTTACTCTCCAAGAACCATCAATTTGGTCCTATTTACCGGAAACTTACCCACTCAGCCGGTTAAGTACATGACTGCATGTTTGACATTTTCTTTTCTTTATTTTCTCTTTTTTTTTTTGCTTTTTGTTATTTTATCTTTCTTCTGCGTTCTTTCTGCTTGTTCTTTAAGCAACGATTTCTGATTTTCTCCGATTTGACTGCTTCCACGTCCAAGTTTAAAATACTCGAGATCCACGGTCGAAACCTGCACCGAAGCTGGGTCTCGATCATCATCATCGTCGACACCATATTGCCCCCCTTCTCTATGTCAATCTCATATATATATATGTATATATATATATATATATATATATGTATATATATATATATATATATGTATATATATATATATATGTATATATATATATATATATGTATATATATATATATATATGTATATATATATATATATATATATATATATATATATATATATATATATATATATATATATATATAT